GAAACTGGGGGTGGACGATTTATGTAACGGGAAGTTCCCAAAACCACAGCAATGTAATGAATAAGAACTCCCATTCTCACCATGTCTATGCACTCAACACTCTCTCTGTTAGAGTCTGGACGTAAAGTACCCACTTGGTCAAACCTTCTTACAGTTAGGACCACAGTCAAAATCCCCTCTCGATTCCCCCAATGAACGAGAGGTCCACAAATTGAGCGATCAAACCTTCCTACAGTTAGGATTGTCTCAAAACACCCACTTGGTCAAACCTTCTTACAGTTAGGACCACAGTCAAAATCCCCTCTCGATTCCCCCAATGAACGAGAGGTCCACAAATTGAGCGATCAAACCTTCCTACAGTTAGGATTGTCTCAAAACACCCACTTGGTCAAACCTTCTTACAGTTAGGACCACAGTCAAAATCCCCTCTCGATTCCCCCAATGAACGAGAGGTCCACAAATTGAGCGATCAAACCTTCCTACAGTTAGGATTGTCTCAAAACACCCACTTGGTCAAACCTTCTTACAGTTAGGACCACAGTCAAAATCCCCTCTCGATTCCCCCAATGAACGAGAGGTCCACAAATTGAGCGATCAAACCTTCCTACAGTTAGGATTGTCTCAAAACACCCACTTGGTCAAACCTTCTTACAGTTAGGACCACAGTCAAAATCCCCTCTCGATTCCCCCAATGAACGAGAGGTCCACAAATTGAGCGATCAAACCTTCCTACAGTTAGGATTGTCTCAAAACACCCACTTGGTCAAACCTTCTTACAGTTAGGACCACAGTCAAAATCCCCTCTCGATTCCCCCAATGAACGAGAGGTCCACAAATTGAGCGATCAAACCTTCCTACAGTTAGGATTGTCTCAAAACACCCACTTGGTCAAACCTTCTTACAGTTAGGACCACAGTCAAAATCCCCTCTCGATTCCCCCAATGAACGAGAGGTCCACAAATTGAGCGATCAAACCTTCCTACAGTTAGGATTGTCTCAAAACACCCACTTGGTCAAACCTTCTTACAGTTAGGACCACAGTCAAAATCCCCTCTCGATTCCCCCAATGAAATTACTGAAATTATTCTAAATTGATACTTATACTAAAATAAATTCTTTTAAATTATTTATAATTATTCTAAAATAATTCTTTTGTCAAATAAATTCTATTAATTTATTATAATTACTTTAAAATAATTTTTCACCAAAATAATTTATTATAACTATTCTAAATTGATTATTTTGTCAAATAAATTCTTTAAAATTATAAATTAATCTAAAATAATTTTATTTTATTTTATCTTTACAACATCTATTATCATAATATTATTTTTATACTTTTTAATATTATTCGTTAAATAAATCCGTCCAGGTCATCACAGTATATGTATTACAACGTGAATGGTCATACGTTATTGTTCACAGTCCATTACGTCAACGACAGTTCTATACGTTATAGTTCTCAGTTCAATATGTTCACGACAGTTCTATATTTGTAACGAATAATTATTCGAAAAATGAGTTCTTATGCATAATTAATCTGTGATCAAACTAAAATTGTACTGACCAAGAATAGGGATCTTGCAAGCAACCAATTAATTCACAGTGGCCTATGAATTGCATGACAAATAAAGAGAGTATCGGGATCTTGCCTCGGGTTATTGTCGGATGATTCAACATTACCGTATGAGGCTACGTGTCTACGAACAAGGCGGCGATGCCGCTGTTTACTGTTCGCTGTTTTGGTGACGTGCGCAGCGGTTCGAGGCAGCGACGAGGAGAGGTGAAGGTGATGGAGGAGCTGCAGCGGTGTAGGAGAGCGGCGGCAAGGATTCGAGCAGCGGCGTTGTCGACAGCGGAGCTTGGGGAGGAGAGCTGGGCGGAGCTCGCTGCAGGGCTGGTCGGCGGTCGAGCTCGGGGCGCTGAGGGACTGGCGGAGCTCGAGTGGCGGCAGGTCAGCGAGATC